TTTTGCCTGTTTTGTGAGTGGTGACCAGAATCTGGTTTTGTTTTATGTTCTGTAGGGTTGCTGAGCTGGAAGATGCCCGTCTAAGATGGAAACTTCTGCTTCAACGGCTGCTGGGAAAAAGGAAGGGAAAGGTGCTGTTCTGGAGGGGAATGGCTTTACAGAGACAGGGAAGAAACCCACTCCTTTAGCAGCAGCAGGAGCAGCGGTGGCTCAAGGAGGTACTTTATGTTTTCCACAATTTGAAAGCAGCAGGGGTGTTTTTCATTAGACTGTAAGGATTTAATAAGTACGGTGGCATCTGTCTTCCTGTGAACACACTGAGTTTATTGGGGTTCTTGGCTGTCGGAGGTCAGAGGAACGGGAAGCTGTGTCACCGTGTGGCATCCAAATGTCACTGCACTGTGACAGGTCACCACCACTCACAGAGAACTGGGCTGGGATGACAGAGAGGATGGGTGGTCATCAGGGAGTTGAGGCATCCCATCATTGCTTGCCACCAGCCAACTGGTACTGCATAGTGTTGGCTGCACGGTGCCCTCGACTCCCCCATAGTGGAGTTAAAGTATGGCTGGGGACACTGTCTGAAGCTGGGGAGCGCCCTGTTATCATGGTCAGGATGGGGTGTTGTGTGCCAGCTGTGATTCTGCTAATGAGCTAAACAGACCACATGGTCTTCATTCATTGCTGCTGGGATTTCATGGTTAGGGAGGAATTTGGGAATGTCCAGCCCGAATGCTAGAAGATTCACAAAGAACTACCTCCACTTGTGCCATTCTTGTTAATGTCAGAAACAATTCAAGTCCTGATTTCTTTTGTCATCAGTGTCTTAAGCAAGGTTTTGGTCTTGTTGGTGTTGAAGTCAATTGGGAAGCTCTTGTGGTCAACCACTGGCATGGAGCCATTTTTGGTGCGTGTAACACCCGTGTGCAGGGGAATGAGGAATGTTGCTCATGTCTCCATTTGCTTGCTAAGGCAGGCAAAACACATATCTCTCTCTGGAACATGTGCTGGTAGATCTCCAGATTGGTGCCAGGGCCCATCACGGTGGCACAGCTGTGGGCAAGGATGTACCTGCCACAGAGGCACTGCAACTGCTGTTGCTGAGGTCTGGTTGTCCTCTCTGGACAAGGTATAAGGAGACAAACTTAGAAGGGGCTGCACCAGCATGGACATGACAAGAAACATCCCAGCTGTGTAAACTTTGCAGGCAGCTTTTTTTTTTTTTTTTTACCTCTTTAAAAACCTCTTTAAAATATATGTTATTGCTAGCCGGAGTCTACTTCAAAATGAACTCTTCCCCTCCCCTTCCCTCATTGTAGGGTGGTTTTTCATCACCCCAGGAGAACAGAATGACTCTTCCCTGAGCAACTCTGTTTCTTACCCAGCTTGGCTGGAGAGTTTTTGTTTTCTGTTGGCTAAGTTTTGAAGACAGTTTCCAACGCAAATTGCTTAAATCTTCTTTAACTCTCCACCTTTTTCAACACTTTTGTTACTCAGTTTTTGTTTCCACATTGACCTGTGAAGATTCAGATGCACAAATAAAGTAGCAGTGGCTAGATTATAATCTATCAGATTGCTTCATGTGTTTGATAAACTTTTTTAGGTTTTGTTAGCAAAAGGAAAGTTTTTCTTATAAAGAACCAGAAAATATTTTACAGAGTTGTTTGGGGGGAAACAGTATTTCATGCTGTTGGATGGGTCTGAACAACCTTCCTCGAGAGCACTACACAAAATGGAGAAAGGAAGGCTTGCCAGGCAGCAGAAATAGGGGAAAGGCAGAGACAGCAACATGCAGAATTTTGCCATCCCCCAGCAGATTTTGATCCCTGTTGAAGAAGCACAGGCTGTGGAATCTATTGAGGCAGTCTACTTGAGGCATCATCTCACTGACTGGCAGACCTGAAGGATTGATTGGTGCCAGCATAGTCCAAGCATGTGCTAAAATTCAAAACCTATAGATATGCTGTTATGAATAAATACCTTCTCTCCTCTTGGCACTTGCCTTGGGAGTGCCTCCACCGAGTAAGCAGTCACTACATTTCCAGAGACAGAATGGAAATGAGGATGCCCTGAGGTGGAGTGTCCATCGGCCCATTTAGCATCCCTGGAGACCTAATTGTTTTTTAAGCATCCAGTATAATATGTCCTGTTAGCAGTGTGCTCTCACCTTTGGAAAAAAACCTTATTTACAGGGCTCAATATTTCTCCTTTTATTAGGAGGAAGTGGAGAAGTAAGTTGAGGATTGTTTGAAGATGTCAGGAGAATTGTGATGAAAGGATTGTGTAATGAGATGTAAAGAGTGAAATCTATGTCATGCTGTGAAGAGAAGTGCTCATAAATGACCCAAAATGGCCAGCAGCGAAGCAGCGTGTGATCGGACGCTGGCCCCAGGACTCTGCAGGTGATGCACGTGCTCTTGTGGTTCAGAGGGCTTCCCTTTGAACTCTGGCTAGACATAATACAGGCTCCTGAACAGGAGCAGCATGCTTGTGCGTGTGCTCCTAAGTAGAAAAATTAGTACAAAGTTGTCTTCTAACATCAGTTAACTGCAAGGTGTGATTTAGCAGGTGATAACAAAAAGGCTGAGTAGCAATGAGACTGTACTTACATGGTATTCATGCTAATATAACATATTTGATTCCCCAAACTAGAGTAATTACTCATAACAGGCCCGAAATATACATATTTATGCTCATATTCTTACAGAAGAAAGCAAACAAGGCTTGGGGATTAATTAGGAATTCAGCTTGAGGAGGGGACCAGCTTTAAAGGGTGAACCTCTGAGCTCCCCACCCTGCTTTGAGGCCATACAAACAAGTCTTCATTCTCATCCAAGACAAACGCTTGATTTCATTTATTGCAGAGGTTTTACTCTTTGTACTAGCATGTGAGAAAGTGGCAGTGAGGCTCAGCTAGTGCTGCAGATCACCAAGCTGCTCTCCAGAGCCAAACAAATGTAATTCGCAACACATTTCTTCTCCTTTATTCTACCGAGTCACACAGATGGAGTGCCAACATAGCATGCTTCTCAGATCATAAGGCTTTCTTTTTTCCTTGTAGAAATTAATAGATTCATAAGCTTTTATTTATAATTAAGGTAATTGAAGCAATAAACTGAATATTAGTTAAACCTAGCTAGAATAGCTATTTTATTATATTATTATAAGGCAATATGTCCAGTCTCCATTTCTAGTTCCCTTGCTTTGGATATTTGTCCCAAATGTTTGCAGCCTCTAACAAATGAAGTTATGGCTGTAGGAAAAGAGATCAATATTGTTGATGCTGTCAGTGGAGAAGAGTCCTTTTGTACTAACAATCTGCATCCCATATTTTTAGTCTTCTGAAGCTGCCATTTTAGATCTCTTTTGTGACAGTTTTTTATAGTAACTCATTGATCAGATGTTCAGAAATTGGCCTCACAGAAATGACATCAGGGAAGTCTCTCCTAATTTTCTGTTTTTCCATAAATCATGTTAGCCAAGGAGTCAAAGCTCCTCTATTCTGTTTGAGCAGGGTCACATGTGTATGTGTGACTGAGATGGAAACTGTTTATAATGACTGTATGTAGGAGCTGTAGACAAGTCAAATCTGCAGAAGAGGCTCTCAGTTTTGGTGTCTCCACTTTTGGAAGGGCAACTCATAACACTTTGAGTTTGGAAAAACCTTTAGATGAATGCAGAAGTGCATATTGCTATGTGGGGTAAGAGATTTTGGAGCACAGCACCACGTGAGAATGTAGGTTGTGTCCTCTGGGCTGGCACTGCGACATGCTCTGTACCAGCGTGCATGAGGTGCATGGCTGGAGGAGAAATTTAAATGAGCCAGTCTTTCAAAGGCAGAGATATTTAGGAAGATGGGTTTCTCATCTTGTAATAAAAATTAAACACAAATTCTCCTAAATGCTAACTGCCTGACTTTAACAAGGCCCAGAATGCACCTTTCCCTCTCCACTCCACCCTCTGCATGACACAAACACCGAGTTCCCAAATTGATGGTGTTTATGTTTGAAACATTTTTCTGATGTCTGGCTCTGTCAAGACTAATTTTAGCATTTCTAAAGCTGGGTAAAAATACAGCCTCATTACTTTGATGTCAGAACATAGTTTACTATTAGTATATTCTGGGGTTTATCATTTTAGTCATGTTTAACACGGCTACAGCAGGCATGCACTATTAAATCTGGCTTATTTTACATTCCTGTCTGAGATTATTTATTTGGAACAATTTCCTCTCTATCAAAAGACACGGCTAATGCTGAGTTTTAATGTGTTATTTACACACAAAATAACCTATTTACAACTCAGTATCTGCCGCGGGGAGAATGAATGGGGCAGTGCTCCCTTCATCCTGTTGTATCTGAGTTTAACAATCTGGATTGCTAATAGAACCATTTATCACGGGGTGGTAATTTATTTTATGTTAGCTGCACAGGTCTCCCTGCCTCTGATCTATGGAAATACTTTGTATATAATGAAGTTCAACAAGTCATTTGGTGTAAACATGGGGAAACCAAGCAGCAGAACTAGTAAGACTCTGTCTACACTTTTTTTTTTTTTCCAGGAGGTAACAACTTTCCTCTGATATTAATGCTTCGGTTGGTGAAATACAGCTCTTTGCCCTGTGTGTGCTGTAAAGGCAGAGTATGGGGCTTTTCTGCAGTGGATCAGAGATTAGGATGGAGTTTGGTCACTTGATTTATGGGCTGGCAGGCA